GTCCCACAATTGTGACTCGACTTTCGAGACCACACAAAAATTTACGCCTTCAATATGATGATGAAGCTAGGAATGAAGAAGCAAAAGGAAATGATGAGACTGGGACTTGAACCCAGGAGGATTGCTCCACCAGGAAATGCTGTTAAGGTTCACCTTAACCTGGCGCCATAACCAACTCGGCCATCTCACCAATGATCCATTGTCGAAGGTCGTGATTGATCTTTGTCTTGTAAATCCCAGCCTTGGCATGATCGTTTGCCTTGTTCAACCTCGAGACATTGTTCCATAACCTGCTTCCGACTTCTTGCTGTCCTTGGCCGTCATGCTGGGGATCAAAGTGCCTGCCGAGTCAACTGCGCCGCTGAAACGAAGCCCTTTGGTGAAGGTCTTGGTTGGACTGAGCCAGGTCAATAGAGACTCAGAGATGAAACCCTTCCTTTCGTTCCAAGGATCCACGTTGGCCTTGCGAGGTAATCGGTCGTGGGCCATGAGAAAGTAGGTCGATTTCATGCCAATGACGGGCTCGGAGTGGAGCGTATTGCGATGTTGTACGACTGGAGTAACGGCTGTCGCGCCAATATTTTGCATGTGCTTGATGACACGCATCATCATTCGTAGGCATGCATCGCTACCGAGGGTCCAGGCCATGCTGGTATACCCAACGACCATGGCCGCTATGGAAGAAAATTTGTTCGTGTCAGCGATAGGAGAGAGTTTGCACAGTCGAGAAAGAAAAGGCAACAACGTACAATTAGGCACGCCCTCAAGCATAAAGCCGCGCCATGCAAACTGCTCTGGCACGTTGATCTTTTGACCATCGACCGTGATATCGACACCGCCCAGGATCAACACCCGGAGACCAGTGGCTGTGACAATGAGATCCGCATCGAGATGCTCTCCATTCTTTGTTCGGATACCAGACTCGGTGACGGTCTCGATGCGATCCGTGACGATATCAGTATTAGCCCGCTTCAGAGCATCAAAAAAGTCACCATCCGGACAGACGCAGAGACGCTGGTCCCAAGGGTTGTAGCGAGGCGTAAAGTGAGGGTCCACGGGAATGCCAGAGCCCTTGAGCATCTGATCCATGCGGCGTATGAGTGTTCGACGGACAAACAGGGGGAAAGCAAAGCAGAGGAAGCGGATAAAGGATTGAAATACAATGTCCTTCCAGAAATTGACATGGTTAGCGAGCCACTTGGGCAGCACCCGACGAAGCATCAGAATGTGTGCAGGAGCGGACGGCAGCGGCACGACATATGTTGGACTTCTCTGTAGCATTGTCACGCTGGCGGCTGTCTTGGCCAGGACAGGCAGCAAGGTGACGGCAGTAGCACCAGAGCCGACAATGACAACACGCTTGTTGGCGTAGTCGAGATCGCTAGGCCAGAATTGAGGATGCACTACTTGACCGCCGAATCTCTCGAGGCCCGGGATCTCCGTCTGGAGCGGTGTGGCATAGTCGTAGTAACCGCTGCACACAAATATAAAGGTCGAACGAAGCGTGCGCGTGGTCTTGCCGCCGTCAACATCCACCTGCATAGTCCATTTGCTGTCTGGGGTGGACCAATGAAGACCCGTCACCTTGTGGCGGAATTGGATGTGTTTGTCGATGCCGGCCCAGGCGGTAGACTCTTCCAGATACTGCTGAATTTGAGGACCGTCCTATAAGGAGTGCAGTGCAAGGCAGTTGTGAGTCAGCCTTTGTGTCCAAACACGAGTATGCCCAGCGAAAAGGTGCACTCACTGCAATCTCCTTGCTGGACGTCCAGGGTCGCCAGCGGAAGCCAAAGCTGGTGAGGTACGAGTCGGAGCGCAGGCCAGGATACTTGAAGAAGTTCCAGGTGCCGCCTATGGCGTCGCGGGCCTCGAGCACCGTGTAGCTGGCGCCAGGCATCTCTGTCTGCACCATGTGGGCGGCGTTGATGCCAGATGCGCCGGCGCCGACAATGACCACATCATATTCTTTCATGGCTGTTTGACTGTCGAGTGGACTGGAGAAAGATCCGACCTTGGAAGTTGTGCGTTCGAGTGGGATTGTGAAATTGACGAATGTTGTTGTTCAGGATCAAAAGGGTACTTGCTGCATGGTTTCTGTGGGCCGAACAGCGACTGAAGACCCGACTGAGCAAACGACAGATGCCCAAACAAGATGAAAATAAAGCCAACAATAATTGATTCCTCATCGATTGGAAGTACCGCGGTGTTTTTGAAAGACTGCTTGGCCACGAGCCCCCTCAAGAATTGACAGTAAGCGCCAACATGGACATTGACGCGTCTATCGTTCTCGGATCGTTCAAGTGGGGCTCGCAGCGAGGTTCGTCTTGCGATTGGACGGGCGGGACGCTGCTCCAGGGCCGGGCATAGAGAAGCCTGGGACGATGCAGCGGAATACCTTTTACGGTAATTAAGTCGAGTTGAAACATGGTCTCGCAATGCTGGAAATGGCCTCGGAAACTGGTGCGTGTTGTTGTGCTGAATCTTGTCGTTCTTGCGTATTTGCTGTTTACAGCTGGAAGAGAAAGTCAAAGCAACTGTGAGGTTGGACCTTGGGGGTGGAAGCACCTGCTAGAAGTGGCTGACAGTCTGGCTACCCTGGGGCCACCCAAGGGTACCTAGGCCACCCCGCAGGCGGCCAGGTAATTACTGCCTGCACCTTCCGTTTCTACCACGAGATGAACTGCCTTCATGGCATTCACGCTAGGCAGCAGCCAGCTCTCGTTCTTGCTTCCTAGGAAACAAATCCTTGGCCTTCGGCTACCACTCTTGGAAAACACTCAACCGCTACTTACGCTCGCGAAGTGGCTCAGCTCAAAGAAGACCACAGATAGCACCTCCTATAATTGCCGACATGTCTATGCTGCTGAAGTACTACTGACCGCTGAACCTGCAGACAGAACAGATCAAGGCATGTCAATCCTTACCCATCTTGTTCTGTGCTGACAAGGAGATTTCAGCAGATGGTGGTACTGGTACTTGCACGTGCAAGGACAACTTGAGACACAGAAGCCAAGAAATCAATCGCACGTCCAGAAGCGAAAGGTGGACCTCAATGTCAAGCAGCGAGCACGTATGGTGCCCAGAGACGGCAAAATATCAGCTTTCGCGCCGCATGGCAGGTTACTGGCAACGTCCAAGGCTGATAAGAAGTCGCGCGAGGCTGCCAGTGCTGCGTAGGTGCTGACAACGTCATAGTCCACCGTCCGGGGTCCCGGGACTGGGGCAGCCGCAACGGCTCTACGTCATACTCACGCCCAGCTGGTTCACGAAGAAGCATTAAAAGTCACGACAAAGCCCGACACTTAGTCGGTAATTCAGTCTCCTTACCGTCAACCTATATCCTACAATAATCACAATCTCTGAACAACAATACTCCACCTGAGCAGCTCGCAAGAACACCATACTTGTGCAGTCAAGAACAAAACACAAACCAGAACCACAAACAAAACACAGACCAAATACCAGAACCAAAAACCAACCCTATCAAACCCGCCTGCAATTCAAAATGTCCAAAATCGTCGAGGATGTCCGCTCCGGCCTGAAGGGCATCAAGGGCGCTGGTGACGCCATCCGGGGTTCCACCATGCAAGCGACCGACGAGCTCTTTGACCAAGGCTCGAACCACCCTCAGACGGCGGCCTCAACAGAAAAGAACCGCGCGTTGGCGGAAAAGGGTATGCAAGATGCCCGGCTGGCGGACCAGAGTATCGGTTCGCGGCATGGACCGGCTGCCAAGGCTGGGACGACGACCACGACGGGGGCGACGAATACAAACGTGAACACGAATGCGGGTGTTGGAGGGACGTATTAAGGTGCTGAGTTGAAGAACGAGGCAATGGATGAACGGTACGACTAAGAAAGAGGCAGGTTCTATGGAAGCTTTCCGGGAGTGGTAGTCTCTTCACAGCCAACGGAGTTACAGCGAGAACTACGATTGTACAATATGAAATTCATAAGCAAGTTTATTAACTACGTGTTCGAACTCAGTCACTTGGCTCCTGGTGATGTTAGTCTGTCGGCATTGATCCAAGACCTATTTCGGCATTCTCAGAACGGATGAGACCATCAATCATCAGCAAAACGCAGGATAGGCGCTCGTCAGCCGGTTGGTATTGTAGGATCTTTCGGCCGGTAACAGGTGATACTGAATCACACATCTCGTGGTCAGTTGAACGGTACTTCCAAAATTAGTAGCTGGATTGGCTAGTCGAGAGCACTGTTATACGCTGCACGTAGATTTGTGATGGTATCGAGGGGCGCAAAAGGGGACACCAAGAAGGAAATAATAACACAAACGATTAATACGCGGCCATTACTTAAGTAAAAGCGTTCACCACCAGTCCAACCTCGAGTCACACTGCTTACTGCATGTGTTATCGATATCTTGAACGATTTGTTCTTGTGGCTGGAACTCGGTGGCCTACGATAAATAGCTTACAAGAAACTTGTTACGCAAGTATGAAGTGCGGTGGAAGATTGGAACAACTGGGCCCGAAGAATATAGATATTAATCGATACATTCAGTAGAATTACACAATAAACATAAAGATGTAGTAGCAGTATGGCGTCCTCGTCAAGCACTGAAAACCATGTCACTATCTAATATGAAACGAATTGTGATTTTTTTAATGATATTTCAAATTTACTTTGGTCTTTGAAGCGGCACTGAACATAAATGATTTCACAATCTTTGGATCATTGCTCTATTTATTATCATGTAAAATCACTGTATGGTTGTATCAAACCACATGCATTCTGAAACTCATCCATTGAAAGTTCTGACTCGCGCACGCAGATTTCGGCATAAATAGTCAAACAGTATGAATTCAAGCCATCGTTCATTCTCATGAACATTTCTTGAAAGGCCATATAAATGGTCGTTTCCAGAGAAAAAGGGAAAATATGAAAGTCAGAAGGATAACACAAAGGCAGATCACTGGTGGATTCACAGCAAAAAAAGAAACACACAAAAAGAGAATCGAGGTTATCGACGGGAATTGAGCCCGACGTGGGGGTCGAACCCACAGCCTTAAGATGATACTAATCAGAGTCGAAGACCCAGTAAGAGTCTTACGCTCTACCGATTGAGCTAGCCGGGCGTCTTTCGACGCTTATTGTTGGAGGTTTGCTTTTTTGGTTTGTCTTATATCTCTTGTGTCATTGGCACAAGGTTATTTGTGTGCCGCAGCGACTTGCTTGCACGTTCAATGCCTTGCCCTCCTGTAAACCTCTTCTCCCATGCCCCCCACACCAGACAAAAATTTTCACCATCCCAGTTCTCGCAAGCGACAACTGAAACAGCCCTGGAACCAACAAGATGTTGAAGAGTTATAGACACACTCAAACACACTCCATTGTAACATTCACCTCCGTCCCAGTTGCATCCCCACCATGTTCCAGCAGCGCAAACGTATACACTCCCTTCTCGAGCTCCCACTCGTCCCAGCGGTTGATGATGGGCAAATAGCGATCAACATCGACTTGCATGCTCACGACAGCCTCGTGGCCGGCGTCCAGATACACACGCTGAAACGCCACAAGCTGCTTGACGGGCTGCACGATGCTTGATACGCGGCTGAGGAGGTAAACCTGTGCAACGTAGCTTCCGCTTACTGCACCAGTATTGCGCACTGTCAGGGAGAAAGTGACCGTGTCGCCAGAAGTGAACGTGATGGCTTCTGGAGAGGTAACAGAACTGCTGTTCCGTTGGCTGTTGTCGGTCGAGTGTTGCCGGTTGTCATCCAGCGATGACAGCGAACCGGCAGTGAACCCGTCCACAATGAAATCCGTGAACGACAGACCATAGCCAAACGGGTAACAAGGTTGCGCCTCGATATCAAGATACTCGATCTTTCTCCCCAGGCTCTCATAATTATAATTCACAGGTATCTGTCCCACGTGCCGCGGGACACTCACTGGCAACTTTCCCCCAGGACTCGCTGCTCCCATAAGAACATCAGCAATCGCCTGCCCGCCGCTCTGACCCGGAAACCAAGCACTCAGCACCGCGCTGCTCTGGGCATAGTATTCAGGGATTGCAAAGGGCCGTCCACCTTGTAGAACAAGGACGACGGGTTTTGCTGGAGCGAGGGAGAAGATGGCGCGGGCGAGACGGTCTTGGCTCGGCGAGAGGCCCAGGATGGCGCGATCGGCGGATTCGCCATCACTGTTCCAAGCTGCGCCGAGGGCGAGGACGACGAGATCTGCCGACTGAGCAAGCTGGAGCGCTTGGGACAGAGCGATATCGCTACTGTCGTTGCCATCGTCATTGGTGCTGGTGCTGGTGCTGGTGCTGGTGCTGGTGCTGGTGCTACTGTCGACCAGGTTCCAGAAGAGCACGAGCTGCGAGTTGAGCGAGACGACGTTTTCGATCTTCCTGTAGAGGTCGTAGGCCTGGTACTCGATACGGATGTCGTAGATCTCGCCTTTTCGAAAGGTGAATGAGGCAGATCCTGCAGGTGGAAGCGTGCCGTTGACCTGGGTGAACTCGAAAGACTCAATGTTGCCGAGGATGTTGCTGTCAGGTGTCAGACGCTCCCCCCAAGCAGTCACCAGCTCATCATTGATAAATAATTTTGCTGTCGAGTTGGCACCGACTGCTACGCCGATGCAGCCATTTGTGTCGAGGTCTACAGGCGACGTCAGCTTACCCTCCCATATCGCGCTGAAGTTGGTCGATGGTAAACCTGGCGGTGGGTAAATACCCCAATCCAGCGCGGGAACCTCCATCTTACGCGTGACGACAGGTTCGGTAAAGTTTGTCTGCGCAAAATACGTGGCTTGGAGACCTCCTGGTGTTGCGTTGGGCGAGGAGAGGAGGTATGGCGGAATGACATGCTGGGCAATGTACTCCCATGTATCTGCCCCCCAGCTCGAAGCGACTTCAAAGGACCCTTGAGACGATGCAGAAGTGTTCTGGCTGTATGCCAACATTGCTTCACGAAGAGTCGTGGCTTGGTCGGCTGGGTATTCGCCCCATGGCCCCGAGTAGTCGCCGTAGTTGAGAACGTCGATGAATGGGCCTATTAAAGCAATTCTGGATATGTTTTGGTCGGCTGGCCGTAGGGGAAGAGTGGCGTTCCGGTTCTCCAGGAGGACGATGCTCTTCTGAGCGGCTTCGAGAGTGAGAGGCTCGTTGTCTCTCACAATCTGGATGGGATCTGTCTCCACGGGGATGAAAGGATCCGCAAACAGGCCCAGATCCCATTTGACCCTCAAGACCGCTTCGACATGGTCCCGAACGATCGACAGCGCCAATGACCCGTTCGCAACGAGCTCGCTTGTCGTCTCAAGTAAGACCTCAAATGGCCAATCATAGAATTGTATCATGCCGCCGGCTCGATACCACTGCCGAATCGCATCAGCCGGCGAGCTCGCCACACGATGAACACTCCACAGCTCGTTCATACCCGTGTCATCAGCAATCACAAGCCCGTCAAACCCCCACTCCTTCAACAAGCCATACAGCTTTGGGTTCACGTGCGCAGGCACATGGTCGAATTCATTATACGCCATCATGATACCCCTCGCCCCACCGAGCTGCACCGCGGCCTTGAAGGGCAGCACAAGGTCCTGAAAGACTTGGCGATTGCCGCGTCCCATAAACGGCGCGGCATTGCGTCCCGCTTGTGGCGAGCCATGTGCGGCAAAATGCTTGAGCACTGGCACGACTGCATCTGGTGCGGCCCAGGAGCCGTTCTTGGAGAGGCCAGAGGAGAAGGCCACTCCCATTAGCGCGGTGAGCAGCTTGTCCTCGCCCCAGGCTTCCTGCATTCTGCCCCAACGCGGGTCCAGGCCGACATCCAGGACGGGCGACAGGCAGGCGTGGATGCCGATGGAGCGGGCCTCTGTGGCGATTGCGCGGGCTACGCGGTGGACGAGGTTTGTGTCGAAGCTGGCTGCCAGGCCCAGGCTCTGTGGGAACATGGACTGCTTGAAGGAGCCGACTCCGTGAAGGCACTCGCCAAAGTGGAGCAGAGGGACTTGGAGGCGCGAAGTGGCGAGATTGCGCTGTTGGACGGTGTTGTAGTGTGAGATGTTGAGAGAGTACCAGTCATGGACATGGCCGACTGCCGCTCGTGACGAGGATGTGAGCGGGAACGCTGGTGAGAGAGCTTCCAAGCGTGGCTCAGCCGACTCTGCGCGAACCAGATCGTCGCCAAAGGTCAGATGGAGTTGCTGAAGGAGCTCTTCCAGGGTCATATCGGCGACCAGACTGCTGATGAAGGCGTCTCTTTCAAGAGGGATGTCACTGCTGCCAGAGCCATGGCTCGCTGACGCTGCTGGGGGCTGCTCAGCCGGGACGTCATGCTGCTGTTGCTGCTGCTGCTGCGGCGGCTGCTGCTGCTGAAGAAGAAGGGGTCGCTGGTTTGCCAGAGCAGCTCGTGGCAAGCACACAGCCAGCAAAGCAAGCCAGCTTATTGACAGTAAGCAAATCATTCTTTTGACGACGGACCGACGGACAGACGGTCAGACCAGGCATGCTGGATACGACCATCAGGAGCTCAAGGGCTGTCAAGGCGGGCGCCAGCATGATAACGTTCAAGCTGCCTAGGCTTCGAGTCTCGAAGAAAGGCTTCCATCATGATCGGATAGAGGAACAGATGAGCAACGTTACAGTCGAAGCCAGCCTGGCTGGATGGCCTGCGGTTACGGGTCTGTTGATGATCTGCCAGCAAATAACAATGGCTTGTTGCGTGATCCGGGGTTGGTGATGGTGCGGGGCAGCGGTAAGGGATGACGAGGTGGGTCCACTGCATGCACTTCACGAAGGCTTGTTGAAGGGTTAGGGTCTGACTACTTGGAACCCTCTACACGAACCGCGAGGCTGAGTCTTAAGCTGAGGCGTAAGTCTGTCAGTCTTGGTATAATCTCAACTCTTGAAGTCTTTGTGTATATTATTCTTGAAACACATATCTGGGGGTCCAGACTTTTAATCAGGTCAGTTCTACATCTATGCAGCACACTGTCCGGGACAGCAGGTAAAAGAGTAGGGGATATTTGTGAAATTCTCGACATGCCTGATCTACACATTGCGTGATTGACTGAATGCCACAGTTGAGACCCAAATTGTTATTGGCTTAAATCGCAAGACAGGCCAAGTTTCACTGGCAAGATGATTAGCCATTGATAGTGTTGGTCAGCTCACACGAGGCTTAGCACAAGGCTGACGGTTCAATCGGATCGCAGCGGACCAATCACAGCTCGGTTGCCGGCCGGTAGCCTCACAAGTTGGTGGCCTGTGTCGGTGTCTCAATCACTACGTTGCAATTGTATACGACATAGCAGTTTTGTTGTCCAAAACCAAGAGCTGAATGTGTATGCTTTTTTCGCGTGCGTTGCACAGGTAAAGACATCCATGAAAGCGCATTCAGTCGGAGGAAGTGGTCAGTTTTCTCCAGATATTTGCAGATTGTAGTTCACATTCGAGTCTAGGGCATGTGCAATACAATGTGGTCTCATCTGTTTTCAGTTCCGGATGTATCTGCAAACAACCCTGACTTGGTATCAGTAGACGGACATACGTCGCACACAGAAGGATCGCAACATTGCCAAAAAAAAGATAGCCGAGTTCGCTGCATCGTATATTTAGCCAAACGTCCGACGATGAAAGCCCAATCCTCATAAAAGTTTCCGAGATGAGCTGCTCAGCCCAATCAGAAATCGCACACCCAGAATTCCGCCCGCTGAAACGTTAATTCCACTGTTCATTTCTCACAAGAGCCGTATCAACGCTGGACAGGCGTCAAGTACACATTCAGCGGTGGCTTTGTCCACAGGAAAAACACATTCTGGTCCATCCAATCCTCTGTAGGGTCCACAAGCTCCATGTCAAAGTTGTAAATCAACCGCGCCATGATGGTCCTCATTTCGGCATATGCCAAACTATAGTAAGAATCGAGCAACTCGTTAGCAAAGTTTTGTTGACCACCTCGCCAACGAGAACCGGCCTGGCAAACGCAGACCAAACAAAAGGAGCAACTCACTTCTTCCCAATACAATTCCTAGGTCCCGCACTGAACGGCTGCAGCGCATCAAGCATATCATTGGGGTACTTCTGCGGTTCGAGAAAGCGGTCCGGATTGAAGACAGAGGGCTC